AAACATTGCCTTTCAGCGTTGCTACTGCTTTAACATACTCTAGAACAGGCCTAAGATACACAGATACTAACTTACATGAACAGTAAGAAATACTACTTGCACTCTTCGTGCACTTTTTGTCCAGGAAATAAGCCAAAATGCATTGAGGAACTTCCTGGTCTGAGTTTGGTGTTTGTAACCAGTTCTGCAATCAGATGATGGGGGCACGTGTGCAGGTATTAGATGCAGACTGTTTATCCAGCTGTAACAGTCACACAGCTGGCAAGTGGCAGCAGGAAGTCAGGCATGGTTCATGTTTAAGATACATAATCTTCACAGTGTTGCTGCCAGGTGTCGTCTTTGGCTGCACTCTCACTGTCTTCTCGCCTATGCTTTTGTCTCTCCAGTGTTCAGGAAAAGGAAGTGGAGTGCAAAGTGCTCTGCCCTTGTGACAGGCGTGGTGAGACTACAGGACATGGTGGAAATAAGCAAGACATAACCAATCACCGTGTGCTCTGTTTGTTGTATTTACCTTTTTGGTAGCTATTTGAAGATTTTCCCTGCTACCTGAGGCATCTTTCTAGGTCCATCAACAGTTAATCAAAAGCTGATAATAAAAGTCTCATAGATAACACGTCTTCCTAGGGGTTACTTCCCATCTCTTAGCGGGCTTGACAACTTGTTTATTATTAAATGCTTGCATATTCTACCCTTGCAGACCATATATTAACATTTAGTGAAGAAGCAGGGTACTTCACTGAGTCTTAGTGTCATGTCAGTTGCAAGGCACAGCAGTAGGGACTTCTTTATTTACAGATCATTAAAAAGATGAGTTCTGTGGTAACAGTACAAGCAGAAATACTTGTTTTTCTTGAGCATTTTCACAGTATTTGGTCAAGTGAAAACTATGCAGACGCCTGCTGGCTGCAAAATGAAAAGGAGAAGAAAGAGCAGAGGGAAGTATGGGGTTGGGGGAAAAGAGAGATGAGACAAGAGGGGCCGCTGGAGTGAAGCAGTAGTATCGAGGGGAACACACAGAGGAAAGATCCAAAACAGACATTCTTCAAGCAGCAATTTCAGACGTTGAGCATGAGAAATATTGGCACACTCCCCATCCATTGTCCTTCTGTGCCCACCATAGCTGAGTACCTGGACATAATAATGTCAGAAGATTTGCACATCCTGGAAACATCCTCATCCCAGGGAAAGTGCCAGATCTTTAGCAAAAGAGGTGGCTGAAGGAAGGAGGGAGCAAGGTATGAGGAACCAAAGCTATCTATGGTGGTCGAAGTAGCCAGCACAGTTGTTTGGGGGGCTAATTAGGACAGCTCTGAGACTTGTTTAAAATGTTAGAACAAACCAAGCTCTGGGCAGTGCCAGGGATGGGGGGCACTTTGTCTGTGTTCAGCTTTCCACAGCCACCTCTTCAGCCCAGCAAGTTGCAACACAACCCCCCAGGACTACCGTGGATCCTGGAAGGTTAGGGATGTGGCTGCCACTGAAACAGCACACAAATGGATGGCTAAAAATTCTCTTAATTTTCACTCTCTTAAGCACTTGTGCATTACAGGTCTCTTTTGACAGCTCAGGATACAGGTTACACACTAAATGAGTGCTAATTTTAAGTCCTGATTGCTTTACTTTCTTGAGCTACAAACTCATGGACACTGTGTTTTCAGCTTGCTGTGATGGCAGCAGTATTCAGGAACTCCTCTTTCTTACTTCTCCATCCTTCTCATCCAGCATCATTTCCATTTCAGTCACTCCCTCTTGCTCCTTTCTTCATTTTGTTCTCCAGGACTTTGGCAAATGTTATCTTTCTTGAGGAGGCACCCACTGTGCAGGAACTATTTTATTGTACGAGAGATGGACTGAGATTAATGTAAACTACAGAGAGCGTATGACGAGAACAATGAAGAAACTAATAAGGTTTGCACAGCCCAGTTCACTCGAGAAGCAAATTTCATGACACTTCCCCTTGGATTCAAAGAGGACACTTTAATCTCAGTACTATAAACATGACCTAAGGAAGGACCAGGGTGGAGCATGGGAAATATTGTCCTTTTAATTGTCTATTCTTCGGAGTAGCAATCTACTTACGATATAACAGCCTCTGCTGTCTGGCTCCAGGCGAGTCATACTGCCTTTGAGAGGGTTCTGAGAAATGTTAGTTTCAGTGGATGCTACATGCCCAAATTCCAGCTCTTATCTTGGTTTCAGCGTGTGTGCAGTGAGAGGGACGCGCAGCGGCAGCACTAGACGGGCTTTTCTCAGATCTCATCAGCCAAATCACTTCTCAGGGTATAGCCAGGGTGTTCTCAGGGTTGTATCAGTCTTCCCGCAGAATATCAACAGTGTCTCTTGTAACAGTGTAGGTGGAGCTTGAGGCCGTTTGTGATCCCCAAGGAATTTCACAGGGTTTGTCATTTATCTATTCCGTATTTTCTTTATCCAGATGTTTCTGTCACATTCTATAGATTAGGAGTCTCTTTCAGCATTTCATCTGACATCCGAACAGCCCGTAGGCAGGGCGCGTTGGCTCGGTCTCTGCCACCTGAAGGAACCCAGCATCAGCATGTGGGACTGCTTCATTACCCTCCCCGGCCTCTGGGCCCTGCCACCCTCCCAGCGGGACACGCAAGACACCGGGTATTCTCTGTCCTCTGGAGGAAACGGTCTGTCCATGTCAGAGGCCATGCTTTCAAGCTGGTTAAGAGATACACAGCCTTCATTTTCTCCCTTAACAGTCAGCGTAGATACAATTATTGCTGGCTGAATTTAGGATTTCTGAAATTCCCATTGTTAGCAAAACTAAAGGAAAGATTGATGTGGATGGGGGTTGGTCCTACTTTTGACATTCCAAAGACAAAGGAATATCATGCATGACTGACTCTTTTGTATACAGGTTTTGAACTAACTTTCTTAGAGTTGGCAAACGTTAGCACTGAAAGAGAAGTTCGTCTGAGGCTTGGCACTAATGAAATGACCTCAGCTCAATGTTCTTCTTGAGTTTTTGAAACTTTGTTTTGCCTAGGTAGCAGGTGGGGTAATGGACACACACAAGCAGAGCACCACGAAGGGGTGGACGTGCGGGGCACATCTGAAGTCAGGGCACTGGCTGGATGTACATGAATTACACGGCGAGTACAGCTGCATGGGTATCATTTTCCTTATATTTTCCACTTGGGCTGTTTATAGGTAAAGCTACATTACAGGTTTTTTTCAGCAAGCACACAGCGCTGGTTAATTAATGTAAGGGCATAGTTATAACCAGTTTTAGTAACAGAACGTTACATGTAAGTATGTCCAGTTGTCTCTTGCCCACCATCTTTTGCTTTGTGCTCGCTGGATCAACAAACGTCTCTGAGACACAGTACCACAACCAGCAATTCGTGGGTTCTGCCATATGCCCCCAGTGATTTCTTGATTTATGCAACGAATGATTTGGGATGTGGGTTATCAGTCCAATTTTCTAAGGAAGTGAGGCTTCCGCAGTTGCACGGTATCTGTTAAGTTCTGTGGGATCTCTCCAAACTGCTGACCGATTTCAGCCCAACCTGACAGAGACAGAGAGCTCTCCATGGCTTTCGAGCCTGGGTGCACAGCACGCTTGACACCCGGAGAGCGGAGCTCTGCAGGCTGCCAGCTGCGGGCCAGCTCCAGCCACGTTTCTGCACTAGATCGGCAGTTCTCCAGGAGCGAGACTCAAGGCCACCGGGTGCCCCCCATCCGGACCGCCCGGGGGGCCCTGCCCTGACCAGGAGAGCCGCCCGTGACCGGGGCCCGCCGTGCCCCGCTGGGGGGGATGAAGGCGGCCCCAGCAGCGAACAGCCCTTTCCTCAGGGGGACCCCAGCGGGCTGGCGCGGGAAGGCTCGGGAGCAGCG